TCACCAAAGTAGAGCCAATGGCATTTGGAGCGTTGAAACTAAGATAACTCCTCCCTGACCAGGATAGTCTCAAGCAACTTCTATAGGTGATGTTGGAGTGATTCAAGATCTCTATTAGGATGGATAGAAAGTTGGGCATCTATACCATTAATTCTAGCATAGATCCAACTTTTCTCTCATCTTAGCACGGTAGACTTGATGGTGCCAATCTAGGGCTTTGCCTTGTAAGTCATCCCTAGCTTCTATCCAATTCTTGCCTCTCACCCAGCAATTTTTAATAACATTACCAAAGTTCTCCGCTGTGAGCCAACCAGTGAGAAGTCTGAAGGATTTCTGTCCTGAGGGATGGTAGCTTGGGATATTCTCCACCACAAGAATGGGACGGTGATCAGAGCAAAAGAAAATAAGGTGCACCAGATATTTGTTTAGCCAAACCAAGTCCAAACCCTCGTTGATCTAGTCGTTGTTGTAGCTGCCCTCTCTTCCACGTGTAGGAAGGCCCTTTAAAGCCCATGTCACTCAAATCACAGGCATTAAGGCAATGAATCATCACTTGGGTTGAGCCCATACCGAAATCGTTACTCCCACCCTTCTCACTAGAGTTAAGAACGGTGTTAAAGTCCCCAATGATAAGTCACGGGGTTCCATTAGAAGGACATAGCTCCTGTAATTCATTCCATAGAATTCTCCTCTCATTATGCCTAAGGCTTGCGTAGGAGAAAGTGACCAGGTCCCTCTTTTGACTTTCTTTGTAGTGAACACTAGCATGCACAATCTGATGATAGGTTTTGATAACTTTGAGCTCAACATCTCAATCATCCCACAAAAGCCCTATACCACCGAAAAATCCCACAGCTTCCTATCTATATGAGTTTAAAGGGTGTTTGACCGGTTTGGAGTTTCTCCCATTTAAATTTACAAATTTGGTATCCGGTTGGAAGAAATTACGGTTTGGGGTCTTTGAGTGCCGCGGGGGGACCTAGCGACTCTAGATGACGCCCCTACTTCCCCGCGGCACGTTTGGATGAATTTTTTTTTCGGATACAGTGTCGCCCACACCCTCCATCGGCACTCAATAAATAATATTTTACAAGTGCCACCCATCCCCGCCCCCAACGGAACTGATATTGTATTTTTATTTTTTGAGTGTTGCCCCCTTGTGGAACTCTGACAGCATGCCAAATGGCACATCCCCTTCGGTCAGAGCCCCATCTTATCTTATTTTTGACCTCTGTGTTCTCTCGCTTTCATTTATAGCAAAATTCTAGATCTGAACATTCTTCTTTATCTCCCTTTTTTTCCATTTGCAGCTCCTTGGGTTTTTTTTGCAGAGCACACATTGGTTGCAACAAAGTGCATTGAAAGCTCTTACAAAGGAAAAAGACCGTAAGGCATGTAAGAATCATTTTCATTTTATTAATTAAAATCATTTAATTTTTTTTACTTATTTTAGATATTTGACACAATATTTAGAATACACTAGTGTTTTTTTTTTTTGGTAATCTAATACACTAGTTTTTTTACTAACACAAGCAAGTGCAATTAATTATATTTATATAGTTGTCATAATAATTAGTCATTGGAAAGTAGTTTTTAATATTTTAATAATATGATTTAATTTAATTAATTTGTAAATGTTTAGGATTTATTTTAATTAGAAATAGTTGTTATAATTTTTGAAATTAATTATTTTGTGTTATCCTAATAACATAGGCATGTATAATTAATAATATATAGAGATTTAAAATAATAATAATTTTTTTATGTTCATGTGTAATTAATTATATTTACATATTTGACATAATAAGTATTAATAATATAATTTAAAATAATTAATTGCTATTAACATTTAGGGTTTGTTTTAATTAGTAATAGTTGTTATAATTTATTTATTTTTTTGGTAAAAAGTTGTTATAATTTTATGGTTAATTATTTTGTGATATCCTAACATAGTCGTGTTGTATAATTAATATACAGAGATTTTACATAATAAAATATATTTTTATGTTGATGTGTAAGTAATTAGATTTAGATATTTGATATAATAATTAATCATTGATGATTTGTGTTTAGTATTTTAATAATATATTTTAGAATATTTAATTTGTTATTAATATTTAGGATTTGTTTTAATTAGTAATAGTTGTATTAATTTTAAATTAATTCTTTTGTGAAATCCTAACATAGGCATGTATAATTAATAAAGATTTTACATAATAAAATATATTTTTATGTTTATGTGTAATTAATTATATTTAACTATTTGACACAATAAAAAAATATTGTGATATATCCTAACATAGGCATGTATAATGTTCAGTATTTTAATAATGTTATTTAGAATAAATTATTTAGTTTATCTCATTTCTAATTTTCATGAAACATCTTATTGCCTAATATTTTATTGCTTTCTTTCTAGATATAGGGTCAATTTAAGCAATCATATATTACAATGGTAGAATACATGAAGGTGTTACAGGATGGACATTTGAAGGGCAAACCAAAGGAATACAAATATAATGCGGGTTGAGATTGCATGATTTAAAAACAAAGATTGCGGAGAAATTGAAGCTAGGTCCCAATCAATCGGTGTCCCGATTAACCGGCCGATATCGTACAGTAGAAAAATTTGTTGTGCTAGAAATTGTTGCTGATGATGATGTTGATATGATGTTCAATCTGTTTCTACAACAGTCGCTTCAACCACAGTCTGCAATGACGATGCTTGAATTGTATGCCGACATTGCTTGTGCAGGCAGTTCTTCGTTACCAGTTGTGTCATTGGATCTAAATTTGCCACATTCTCTCGATAATCCATCACATCACTGGCAGAATACAGTTGTGGAAGAGGAAGATGGTGCAACCTACATGAATGTTAATTTGGGTGCCTCTGATGAAGATGTATATGAAAAAGTTCCTCCTGAGGGTAGTGACTCTGATGAAGATGTAAATAATGAAAAAGTTCCTCTTGAGGATAGTGACTTTGATTGTGATGTAGACACCAATATTGTCGAAAATGTCATCCTGACTAGTTAGTTAATTAACCTTGTGATTATTGTATTTTAAATGTTATATTCATGTGTTACTTGAATGTGAAAGAGTGTTAGTATATGTAGATCAAACTAATACTCCATTCTGGAATGCGAGTTCGCACTATACTTATATTAATTGGGAACACCTAAATTAAGAACTGATTGTTGATGGGGGAATGATGATTCTTGTCAAATGGGAGATAAATTATATGTTAATCAAGAATTTGAAAGTAAGGAATCGGTACAGAAAGCAATGAAGTGTTATTGCATGAAAAATTATCACATTGCTGCAGTGGAGCAAAGCAAAAAAAATAAGCTTCTCATGAAATGTGTTAATCAAGCTAAAGGATTTCCTTGGAGGGTTCGAGCAACGTTACCGAAATGGCGAGATTGGTGGATTGTTACTAGATGGGGAGGCAAACATACTTGTGTGAACCCTTTTCTTTCAAAGAATAAGGAAGAAAGATATTTCAATACTACGGATCTAGGTTTTTAGTTCTCCCTCAGTTTCTTTTTTCTTTTTTTATGTTATAAAGAAGCGTTAGTGAATAAAATTGCTTATTTTATAACATAAAAAATCACCATGACTGGTATGAACGGAAATAAACCCTAAAACATCACCTCCTCGTCGCTCTTTAAGAAAGGAAAAAATGCAGGTTTCATATTTCTCAGTCACCGTGAATGTTTAGTAACTGAATTTGATGTTCCGAAATTAAATTGTAGTGAGAGAGAATGATTTACCTGTTAACAATGTTCTTGGAGGATTTGGTCGTGCCTCTCTGCCCCTGTTGTCTCCAGCTCCACGTTACACTTTTGATTCAAAAATTTCAGTTTTCTTTTTTTTCATTTTTCATTCACAGAACGATTCACAAATTGGGGTTTAAAAAAATTAAAAAAAAAATAGATTACTGCCCCTGTCGTCTCCAGCTCCACGTTCATTTCCCTTTTTTTTCTTTTTTCATTGGCAGAACGATTACAATGGGTTTAAAAAATAAAAATAGATTAGTGCCGTAAGGGCTGAGCGGCATTTATTTAAATAAAAAAATAAATTATTTATTGAATGTCGTGGGAATTGTCTGCGGCACTTATTTAAATAAAAAATAAATTATTCATTGAGTGTCGTAGGAGTGGTGTGTGGCACTGTGTCCAAAAAAAAAAAATTCATCACATGTGTGCCGTGGGGGTACGGGGGCGTCTTCTAGAGTCACTGGCCCCCACTTACGACACTCAAAGACCCCAAACGATAAATTCTTCCAACGAAATACCAAATTGGTATATTTAAATAGTAACAACTCTAAACTGGTCAAAGAACCTGAGTTTAAAGGCGCTTCTTGACAACCTTATCAGCATTGGGGCCACTAATTCTGGTTTCAAGAAGGCAAAGGACTTTTATGTAAGTGGATAAAATAATATTCATCTTGTAGGAGAAATATTAATCTCTAATAATAATAATAATATCTCTTGATAGATATTTTTCTAATTTTATTGCAAACACAACTCCTGTAACGTATGAACAAAATAAATTGACATAAAATCATTAGGATTGATCTAATAGTGAATGATTTAAATAATTTGTATGAAATTATAAGTTCAAACCTTAGTGTAACCATTATATTAAAAAAAAAAACAAATCGATATAAATATTCGGTGAATTGCAGCATCACAAAACCATTCACAATTGTTTAGTATAATAAACGTCCAACTCGAGGTAATCAACTACTTCACTCCTAGTGGCTTAAATTTAAGGGATCAAATTTAAACGCATGTACTAACACAATTTTCCTGAACAATCATTTGAATAAATATTACACTTTAACAGGCCAAAACATTGAGCTGCCCGCTCCCGGGCACATGCATGCACAACAGTAACAACGATATTGTCTTTAACCTGTAACATGCACATATAAATTTTGAAATAGAGACGAAAAGGACCAACAAAGGAGCACAATGGTAACGCAAAAGCCTCTATTATTTACAATGAGAAGAACCATCCATAAAATCTTTCTATGTTGCTATCTATACTGCTCTCTACATCCTATACAAATGTGAGAGATTAAGCTAAAATTTCCAGGTCAAAGAATGAAACATCACATTCTAACTAAAGACATTTCACATAATTTTCATGTGAACCGGCAATAGAGACCTTGTTACTACTTTCAATCCGTTGTTAGAAAATGTCCTGTTTCTGCTTCTTGTGCTGCCACCAGAAAGAAACCTATGATGACACCAGCTCCCCAGGGAAGAATCACAAATCCAAAATATGAAAACTATATCTGCAAATATGTACGTCTAATAATCACATCATGAACAAATATTTCAAATCATCCACTGTAAGGCGACTCTGACGACCACCAGTTCCATCCTCCCCAAATGCAGATGCAACCATCTCTCGCTTCTTTTGCTGCAAGTACATATAAGGATTTTCTTGCATGAGCACCACTACAATTGACGCTTTTTTTATGACACTAAATATTCAGTGTCGTGCAATGAAATTTTCAGTAGAAACACTAAGCTGGTGAACAAGCTTAATAAGGCTTGTAGATAAAAATACTGGATCAAACAGTGTCAGATAACATGTCACATAACTCAAAAGGATATGCCCAAATAGAGATGCCCTGTCTAAGAGTCGTTGTTATGCATAATACTGCACACATTATTCAGCTCACACAACCGAAAAAGCACAAAGAATAAGTTTCAAGCACTAAAACCAAAAAAAGTCATTATGAACAGTTGTGTTCCGAGCATTTTCATGTAAGTTCCATTCACTGTTCAGAAGTATTCTAATCTTCTTCCAGGAACATTGATTTAAATACTAACTTTCCCCACAACAAATCATTTTAAGTCGGTAAACCAACCATATAGACACTTTCAAATATCAGATAATAGATTTGCTTTAGACAGCATTAGGACACCTTAAGTGCTAACTAGAACAATATAAATCACATTTCCTTCACAAAAATACAAAAAGAAGTTTAACATGGCACAAAAAAACTACCTGCAGAGCTAGAATACGATCTTCAACTGTATCTCTCACAGTTAAACGCAAAACAGTCACAGGACGAGTCTGCCCAATTCGATGTGCTCTATCTATTGCTTGATCTTCAGTTGTAGGATTCCACCACAAATCTAGCATAAGAACATGGCAGGCTGCCACCATGTTTAGACCAAGACTGGCAGCCTTCAAAGACATAATCATAACCGATACCTGCATGATATGTCAAACACAGTGGTTACCATTCAATGTATCTAACTCCCAATTTTATGGCATAGGTAATCTCTAAATTCAATCATGATATCAAGGGAGATATCTACAACTTTACAAACCTCGGGAAGAGTATTAAAATCCTTTACGGCTTTATCTCTTGCAACAACTGACATTGTTCCATCAAGCCTTCTATATTGAATCGAAGAATTTTGAAGACACGTTTCAAGCAAATTTAGCATCCTCGTCCACTGAGAAAACACAATTGCTTTCTCCCCAAAAACAGTTACTGAATCATTAGAGCTTCTATTCCCAGACAATTTTTGACTCTCAGGAAAATCCTGGACGGATTTCCCATTATTAGCATCAGAGGGGTTCCCAGGGCAGTCATTATTTTCCCTGGAAGTGTTATGCACAGAAATACTTTTTGGTGTATAGCACTGTGGCTTACACAATGACTTCAATACCTCAAGTGCAGCCTTAATTTTCGAAGAATTATATGGCTGACTCTGAGACCAAGGCTCAAATTCCTCCACTTCAGAGTCGGAGCAATCAGGTGAATCATCACAACCCTGACCAGAAAGACAACTGATCAGTGCGGCTTTGGAAAACACTGAAGATGTGCCAATTTGAGTTTTGCAATTTGTAGCTGGGCACTGGTTGTCATCACCGGAAAGATGTTCACAAATGCACTGGTTACAGAAAACATGACCACAAATTGAAACAACAGCATCTTCAGGAGGATCCTGTCCAGAAACCAAGCGATACGGAAAAGCAGAGGAGTCAGGGAGGACAAATATAATTTGCAAATAAATATTGTCAACGAGGATGATATGGTAATTACAGAATATAAGTCCATTACTCTCAACTAAGCAAGAGGGATAAAAGAATTCTCAGTCATCCTTTCCACTTTACCTGGCAAGAACAAGAAGTAAACAAAAACCTTTCAATCTAACCCCTATCCCTTCAAGTTTACTTTTTTACTACTCTAACCCCTATCCCTTCAAGCACACCCTTTGACCCTAAGAACTAATATGTAATTACAACAAACCAATTGTGCAAGTAAACAAATAAACATGCACACAAACATGTAATCACGAGAATTCACATTTACAATATTAAAGGATGGTCAATAAATACATACATTACAAACGCCACAGAGGGCCAACGAAACCTCTAAACAATTCAGAAGAGAGATTTGTTTTCCCTGAGGAAGCTTCTTTGCCATTTCAACTGAAGATCTCCATAGAGAGTTAGATTTGTAACGCTTCACAAGTAGAGGGTGATCACAAGCTTGTCTAAGACGCAGAAGCATCAACAAAATATTGATATAATTTTGCTTGACAGTTCCAGCATCCGCATATTCCTGACATGACATCACAGCACATGCATTTTAATAGTGGACTTGAATATAACTTACCATGAAAATATAATAACAGGAGCAACACTACTATTAAATGCTCCCACTTGATTTGGAATGTAATAAAGAGCACAAGTGCACAACCACGTTAAACATAAAATAAAGAATTATCCAAGTCACACAAGATACCTTTCTAAAGACAAACTATACCTGAAACTGTGCACGTGAATCAGCCTCTAGTCTGGAATAGAAATCACGTTCCTCCCTTGAAAACTCAACTTTTTTAAGCTCTACAAATTTCGGTGGCAAAGAAATAATAGGTTCTCCATTGAGAAGTGAGCCTACAGGAAATGATCACCATCTCATGGTTACAGGAAAATTTCAAATTAATGCAACTGATGATCGCTTAATTGAAGGTTCACCCATGATACAATCAGCAACAATGCAAGGAAAATGTAAACTAAATTATCTATGATTTAATCCTGTGCCTAAAATTCTATCAAAGTAATAAAGCATAGAATACAATATTGAAGTGATAAACATATTCAAAAGTTGAATGGACTAGACTATAGGACTACAAGGACAAACTGAGGTAATAACAAATAATTATAGCCTGCTAATTTGATAATGTGAAATTCACTCATGCAAATCTAACCTTTAGTCCGACGCAGCATTATTGTCTTTAAAACAGCTTGTAGTTTTCTATACCCTTTTGTTGGATTTCTGTTAATTGGGATCTTAATCATAGAACAGAATGATGTATAGATAGCATATGGGTCATATCTTAGAAATCTGAAGTAACTGTAGAGATCATCAATTGCATTCTGGATCGGAGTCCCTGACAAACACCATCTACGCTTAGCACGAAGACCCCAACAGGCCCTTGCAACTTGAGTTTTGTGATTCTTTATACTCTGGGCCTCATCCAGGACAACCCTAAACCATGCCACCTTTGCAAGAGGCCGAGCAACAGCCTCTGTGCTGTCCAATTCCGTCTTGCCACTTCTTCTAGAATTAGAATGGCTTTTCCTTTTCTTACTTGGTACACTATGATCTTCAAAAGTTCCCTTTTCTTCAACATCTTTGTCAACTAGAGTCTGCTTAGAATTAGAAGGGCTTTTCCTTTTCCTATTTGGGTCAGCATGATCTTCAGAAATTCCCTTTTCTTCATCATCTTTGTCAACTAGAGGCTGCTTAGGGACCTCCATGCTGACAATCGAATAAGTTGTCAGAACAACATCATACTTGGCCACCTCATATGGATCTTTTGTTCGATTGCTTCCATGGTACACTAGTACAGAGAGATTTGCTTGACTGGTTACCTTATTATGCAACTCCTCAGCCCATTGGCGCAAGACACTAGTGGGACAAACAATAAGGGTTCCAGCAGATGGCCTTCCCATTGTTTGCATCAATAAACTCATGCTCATGGTTGGATATCTACTTGACATATCCTGACACATATCAGATTCTTTCTTCACTCCACCATTTTGAGGAAGCATGTCATCGTCCGCATCCAGATTCAAAGTTTCTAATTCACCTTTTTGAGCATTGGGGCATGCATTAAGTATTGGAGCTCTTTCCTGTAATATTAAGGCAATAGTTGATACTGTTTTTCCAAGTCCCTACAAGAGAAAAGTTTATAAATAACTAGGACATGAGGAAATCAAATACTTGTCTATCAGCAACCATCTCATATTAAAACTGCAAGGAACTTACCTGATCATCTGCTAGAATTCCTCCTGAGCAATATGAACTTGATGTTTCCTTCTGAACCATCCACGATAAAGCAATTCTCTGACCAGGACAATTATGATTAGTTAGAATGTTGGATGTCGCAAAAATACAGAGAAAGCATGTTATGGGAACATCTCAGAAAAGAAAAAAAGAAAAAAAAAAGAAATTGAATTACAAAGGACTAGGCCAGGAATCAGAATTAGACACATCAAACCAGTACACTGGAGTTCTTGTCCAATAATTCAACCAGGTATAATTTTTAAACAACATATATTTGACGATTTTCTTTCCTCAACAACTATTCATTAACCCAGATGGGAAAAAATCTAAAGTTACTGAAATATGGGGATGGCATTTCTTTTATTGTCAGAGGAAATAATCAACAAAACAATTCGTCAAGGAATTGAATCAAAATACATGGCAATGAACTTTAGGATAATGGCAACTTTGAACTTCCACATCTTTGAAGACAAGGGTGTACTCAAGCTCACAGAAGTCAGAACCAATAAGTACAAAACAGTATGGCACGACAAGATTATTGATATGATCCTTTATTTATTAAATAAATCACAAAACTTTTCTTCTTCTTCTTTTTCCTCCCTCTGTCTCTCTTGTTGGATACCAAACTCCAGATCCAGATATCAAGACCTGATCCAACTTGGATTTAGATTGAAAGCGGTTGCACAAGAGACCTAAATACACATAATATTTTTCAAGGAGATACCAGATCAAAGAAATTAAAAGATTGGACAAACCTGATGTCTTAAAAGAGGAACTGCCAACAATCCATCTGGTGGGCTAACTTCTGCCGTTGGCTGAGATAGATCCTACAATGAGCCACAGAAGAGTTAGGTGCAATGGGTGAAGAATATTCCCACGTCTGCCAACAGCTACAAGGATAAAAACCACAAAATTAAATGCGCCAACCTGCAATGCAACTCGTAATATATTTCTCTCATCACATGCCTTCAACCTTGTGCTTCCAACCATGTAAGGTTGGGAATCAACAAATCTAGAAGATTGAGATATATTAAGGGAATTCCCAATGACTGCAGAATGACTTGTAGATGCAGGGTGACTGATGTCTTCAATAATGCAAACATTCGAGTCATCCTCAACATGGAAATTCTCAGCACTTACTTTTGAAAGATGAGAACCAATATGTTTATGTAAAATCATTTTTCCCCCTCGTTCTCTCTCAACACAACCAAACTGCTTCTCACAGCCAATTAGTGCTTGGGCATGCTGCAAGGATTTATCTGCGGCTTTTAAATTAAAATTGCCCATGTTTCCTTGAAAAGCAGTTCCATCAATGATATCTTGATAATGATTGGATATCTCAGATGTTACAACTGCATAATTATCCTCATCTTTAAAACATTTGTAACTCTGACATCCCATAGAAGGAAAAACACCAGGCAATTGTTTCAACTCAGTATCATCATTTTGAAAATTGTTTTGGTAAGGTGTAATCAGTCCATCTCCACATTGCATGTATGAAGGGTAAGTTGAAAGTGGCACTGATGCCTTGTTGTCAAAGATAACCTTACCAGAAAAAAATGATGGATAACCACTATGAGCAAACGTAAGTTGATTATCATGAAAAGATATCCCCCCAGTAGTGCTTGATTGCATGCCACTACTCATACATGCCATATCAGAATGGAATTCCGCATTTTCAGTCTTCATGTTACTCATCATTTCTTCATTAGTCCATAATTGAGAACAAATACCATTAGGCATAAAACCAAAAGATGAGTCAGCAACAAAGGGTCTATCAACTGTTCCCTGGTAATAATTCGAAGATAAATCGTAGTCGATAAATTCACTGGGAACATGGGAACCTTGAAAAGTAGCAGAATCAGTTGAAGTTGCAACATGCCAAGATCTATCAGCATCCATGACAGATATTTCAAAAGAAGTACAAGAGTCATTTTCCTGTTGCCCAGAAACTCCTCCAATGATGTCTTCAACATAATCTTCAAAATTTACATCACCATTCTCATTGATAGAACTGAGTGAAGCATCTGCAAGTAGAAAATAGAATCAGACTGTTGCCTAAGTTTCAGATGTACAATGATCTAAAGTAAAATTTTAAGAGCATGACACTAATGTCAATATGTCTTTGTCTAATACTTGACCAAGTGAAAATTTTACATACGTTCAGATTCAACATCCTCTCCCACATGCTTGTATTGAGTCTCGTTTTCACCCTTCCACATACTCAGATTCAAATTATCTTCACAAACTGATATATTGTTTGAATGTGCCTCAGGGAATCTTGTTTCCACACTATGAGCAGGAATCTCAAGTTTAGAAACTCCTGTCCTTTCTGTGTAGCAAATCTCATCACTTTCACCCAGAGAGAATGAGTCCCTATAACTACCAGCAAAAGCATTCGGGGAAGAGCAAGCCTGAGATGGAGGTCCCTTGGTTTCATGTTCACAGTCAAGCATAGAATTTGCTGTGGAATCAGATAAACCAACTGAACCTATGGCCCCAGAATCAGACACACCTGAGCAGAATGTAGAACAGCCCGCGACTGATTCCCCTAATTCCAACCTTGAAAAATGTGGATCTTCTAAAACTTGAGACCCTAATGAATAGGAAAAGGAACCACTCTAATTTAAGATATTAATATTAGCAATTACACATCACAATGATGCAGAATTAACTCAAGATGTCTATTTCTCAGTATTGACAGACCAATTGCAACCAACAAGTACAAGTAGAAATTAAAGGGAAAAACAACAGAAGTCTGCATACCATTTTGAATCTGAAAAGTATCATGGATGCCAGATTCATCCGGTGAAACGTTTTTTGATGAAGAATCCTCGGGACTACTCTGCTATGACATCCAGAACATTAGTATAAAGGTAATATCAAGCACGTGAAGTCTGGGCATTAAATAAAAGGACTAGTACCAAAGAAGAAGAAAAAATACTGAATGCAAAAGGGTTACAGAAAGAGGATTGAATTTAAAATTAGGCAATCCTTGCAATATTGTGTTCAAATTAAAATTATGTATAAAGACAGAACAAAGGCCGAATTATTTTTGCATGAACAACATAAAGCAGCAGAAGCTGTGGCTTCCCAAACGCTTTTCTGTATTAGAATTAAAACATATTATCACCCATCAATATGAAAACAAAATTTTTAAAAAAAAAATCCAACAGGGAAAATCAGTTATAAAATCAAATATCCTTCAATGTTGTAATAAGCAATTTAAAAAATCAAAGGTGTAGAAACACTACAACAATTTTTGTTATCCAAGCAGCACAAAACTCAAGACATGCATCCTGATGTCCAAAATGTTGAGTCTAACAGAATAAGTTATACACGACTCCAAGTCCAAGATATTATGACTCATATTCACCTGCAACGGCAATTACATTGATTTGTTTTTCATTTTTTAAATATAAAAAATGGCTTAAGGGATGGGGGATCTATACTCAGGACTCAGGAGCTTCACACTTTTAGTGGAACCAAGTGACACTAGACTGACACGTCACCGACATATCCCACTGTCCAGTGAGTATAACTTCAGAAAAAAAAGAGTACATATTTAAACCATAAATTTCAACAAATAAATAAATAGTTTGTGTAAACATCTGTACTAAAAAATCACTTTAAAGCCGCTTACTAGTACACACTCCTTCGCATGAATTAACCTTCCTGATTTTTTATAAATAAAAAATAATAATAAAGAGAAGGGAGGTTCTAGTTCGAAGGTCGTGTATGCCACAAGCCTGATTGAGTTATCAATCAGCAAGAATCGAACCGAAGACCTTCACGCCAACAAGTTCGATCCTACCACTTGATTCAAGCTATAAATTGCACTGTGATTAAATTGCGATCAATTCCTTACTATGCAAATTGACCAATAGTATCTCATTTCTCTCTTCTTAGTTATCAAAGGAAAATCAATTATAAGGGGGGGCGGGGAATTAAAACAACTACAGCTTTAACTCAGAAAAAGAAACTTTGAAAAACTGAAAGAGTAAAGAAGATTAATGTTGCCATTGCCACATCCAAAAACCAATGCACGAACATATACAAAAACCACAGAAGCTTCAATTCTTTTATCACGTAAAACATTCAAGTAAAGAAAATATTACAGAGCACACTTCACTTGGCACGGTTCAACTCCACTCCGATCCAGTTCAAAAATTCATTTACGGTTTCGGAATCATCAAAGCGGCAAGATTCAAAGAAGAAGAAGAAGAAACCCTACCTCCTTAGGGTCGCCAAAATCCTCCTCATCGAGGACCTTCATAACGGTCTGAATATCTATATAAAACATGGGATCATTGTCAGCGCCAGCATGGAGCAGTTCCGAAAAGTCGAAGTCCTCGTTCGCCATCACCAAAACCAAAACAAAACCAATCGCATCCAAAAGAAAAAAGAAAAAAAAATCAAAATCAAAATCAAAAACCCTAAACGCGCTTTCTCAAGCTGCAAAAGAAGCCACACTACTCCAATTCCAAAAGCTCCACTCCGCCGCCGCGATTCCGCTATTCGAAAAGCAATTCCTCGAATCGCATCGTCTGCATGGAGAATTCAGAATGAAGCGGTGATAAGATTGATGAGTCAGCGAAAGAAGGTTTCTTAGAAGGTTCGACTTTTCGTCCCCAACTAGGAGCCAAGAGCCAGAAAGGCATAAGAGAGAAGAAGAAAAGAAAGAAAAAAAAAATGTGTAGAGAGAGAAAGTAGTGGATCGTGAAGAATGCGGGGTGCGTAGGTTTAAATAGGGTTTGGGTACGTTACGTAAGGGTGCGCAGGTTAAGTCATCATCATTGGCCTGTTTCTCTAGTTCTACCCGCTTCCGATGTTTTTCCCACTGCTAGTTCACTATTGTTGACCACGAATAGCAAGATTCGCTCACGCGATAAATACGCGCGTGCCTTTTTTTCTAATAAAATAAATGTATATTTAACGGCTGACTAATCTATTCTTAAAATATTTTCCATGTTCGGATTCCAAAAAAAATGTATATATTTTCAAAATCAAAGATGTTATATATTTTTTTTTTTCCTCTTTTGAATGTTATTATTTATGTAACGTTATCGAGATAACACAAACTACGTGAATTGGTGATTAAGGAAACGGGAAAAGTTTGAATTGATCACGGGCGGCGCATGGATCAATGTTTACGAGGTAGTGGTTACGGAATTACCAATCAGAAAGGTATATAAAGTAAGAGTTGCATTTGCGTTAATTTGGAAAATTTTGTTAGAATGGTCCTACCGTTTATAATATTATTAGGATAATTGTGAACTTTCTTTGGATTTTTATTGGCTTCATCATGTGATTGGCACCTTTCCTTTCACCATTATCTTGCCTTACACTGTTTAAAAACTCAAATCTTTTTCAAGAAAGTGTCGCAATTGGATAAAATAATTTGAAGAAATGGTCAAATTTAAAAATATCACAATAATATTTATTAAAGAGAATTTCAATTTTTAATTGATGTGTCCTATATAGTATATACCCTGTGTCTTGTAAAACAAAAGCTAACTTCAACGATATTCACCAGACGGGGGGAAAAAACTACTTTCACTAACCATGTGAATCAGCGATGAAATTTTTTCACATGATTTGAAATGCCTATTTAAAATTAAGACAACAAATGAAAATTTTATACATTTCAATGTTTGACCGGCAACGACTATCAAATGCCTATTAAAATAATTGTGTAAATTTTTATCAATTCGACGTGAATCATTAATGGCATGATGTATAAAGCTTGATATTATAAGCTTATATTATATGTTATGATATTTTTAATTTTTTAATGTGACTATCGTATAGTATAAGTTTATATAACAGAATCTCTTAATATATCAAAACGATATATAACTTAATTCATCCTAAAGTGGAGGGATTAAGCCCGATAAGATGTTGGTGTGTTATCATCGTTGACTAGTGCAATTCTCAAGAATTAATCTATTATTTTAAGGGTAAATTACACAAGACCACCTTGTACTTAGATGTTGTTTCAAAAAGCCACCTTAAACTTTCAATTGAATCAATTAACTCCCTTAAACTATCATATTAAAACAATTTAACAAATTTAATAATATTTAGACAATAATACCCTTATTCTTAACCATAACCATTGCCACCACCCACTAATTGCACCACTGCCCCGATCGCCACCCTGTCACCAACCATTGTAGGAGAAATGTAACAGGCCTTCTATTAGGTAGTCGATGAAACAAGAGAAATATAAGACTAGAAGTTATGTTTATACAAAAAAATCAGAATGGTTAATAATTCCTTCACCAATTAGAGTTTTGAGTTTGAATTGAACGAATGGAATCTTCAAACACTTTTGAGGAAGAAGGTGGAGAAAGAAACACCAAAAAGTCACTAATAAAAAATCATTCGAGGTAAGAACTGAGGTAATTGATTGATTGATCATTTTTCATTATTATCATTGTTATTTTCCGATGAATTTGGTAGCAACAATTTCAATAGAATGATTTTGTACCAAAGGGAAAAGTTGAAAGAGGAAGAATTTGTGAAGTCAAGAGATGGTAACTGAAGAAGAGAAGTAGAGAATATCTGTTGCATAGGGTCTTCCTTGAACTGCAGATGAACCAAGGTAAGGTGAAGTCATTTGTTTGAATACTGGTGACTATGTTGTGGTCAAAAGAACAAATATTTCATTAATTCAAAGACATATTTGGTTTCATCTTTGCAATTGCTGCAATATGGGTTTTACTTGGCATTCTTTGATGCTATTATCTGAGTGCTTGGTAAAACCTCCATAGTGAAAAAAAGCACTAGGCTCATTGACGGATTGCGGGCAATGGATTGTGTGATTTGTTTGACCATTAAGTATCTCTTTCATCTCTTCTTTTCTGATCAATTGCTTACTAAATTCATACTAGAAACTGCACTTGAAAATAAAGACACTAACTATGTCGGATGACAAGGTGGGGACCGTGAGGGCCGTGGAGCAAGAGCAGGAGCGGTGATAACGATTAACATGGATAGGTTAAAAATAAGGGTATTATTGTCTTAATTTTGTTAAATATGTTAAATTGTTTTAGAATTATAGTTTAAGGAGGTTAATTGACACAATTGAAAGTTTATGGTGTTCTTTTGAAACAACCCATAAGTACAAAGTGTTTTTGTGTAATTTACCCTTATTTTAATATTAATACATTAAAATTAAAATTAATTTTTCAAATATTAATTTTTAAAATATTGAATATTTTTTAAAAAAAATAATTTTTTTTAGACACACTGATCAATAGATTTTTATAAAAATTAAAAATCATATGACATTTTTGAAAGAATTATATAAATTCTTTATCAAAGGATATTTTTATTAAAAATATTTATTTTTATTTTATATAGTATTATACAATACATTACCAAATACTAGATGATATTATCTTATATAATATATTATTTTATACAATACTATGTCAAACGCTGGATAGTATTAAAATTCAACCAAGTCTTATACAATCAAATCTTATACTATCAGGCCTTATTCTATACTATACACCAATCAAGGCAATTCGAATTACGACAAATATATGGGATATTTTTCCAAAGTTTGATGACAAGTTAATTCCTTTTTTTATCCAATTAATTCAAACTTTATTAGCTTATTTATTTCATTCTTAATTCGGCATCAAAAAAATTCATCAAATTTCTTTAATGAAATTATGATGTTCGTGAGTATATTACAGAGTAGGTATTTTTTTATTATGAATAAGACTCAAATGTCATCAACCATAAATTAACGAGTGAAATAAATAAAATTATATAAATTACTTTTTTCTAATTATGACATTAGTCTTCACTATTATAAGGGGAGTGTATTGGATTGAGATTTCAAATGATTTTAACGGGTTATTTTGGACAAAATGATCTATTGGTATTCAATTAGGATTTTAATTAATTGAAAAAAAGTCATGTGGTATTCGATTAGGATTTTAAAATATTATTTTAGAGTCCGTTCAAATAGTCCGTTCAAATCCGTTGGTATTTAATCAAGATTTTAAACAATGGAAAAATAATCTTGTGATACTCAAAAATTTAACGATTTTAATAATATGATGTGAATTTCGTGAGACTTTTCAGTAAGAAATATTAATAGGATGTCTCTCTCATAATCTCACCATAAACCCTAGGATTTCTTGAGATTTCTCTATTGCAGTGTTTTCTTCTTCCTTTGGCAGGTTGACCTGCTCGAAATCGAGTTCTACCATGGGAGCTTCGTCAAAACTCAAAAATAGTATATTTTTGAACGATTTTCATCACAAAATATCTCAGAAACAACAAACTAACAAGATTTTAATATAATCTATCTCAAAAACAACATATTTTTGAGTTATTTTTGAGAAATTTTGGAAGTTTTAAAAATGATTTTTTAAGCTATAGGTCGTTTTTTTTTTTTGCACAAAAATATGTGATTTTTGTATTAAAAACAACACAAAATAGTGAAAAGATAATAGGGAAACTAAAACCCTCAAACCAATTTTCGTTTTACATCAATAAAACAATATCAATTTAAAGAAAGATTGAAACTTTCATAATATGAACCCTATATTTCATAACAATACATTCATGAACGAAATTCCTTCACTATAGAAAACGATTTCAAACAAATTTTGTGTGAATAGATAACTAAATTTTTTTTTTCAAAAGCCCCAAAGCAATTTAAGGTTTCAATATATCGATTGAAAAAAATTTGAGAAATTTTCTAAACTTTAATGTAATAAAATCTAGAAATTTAGATTCAAAATTTTCTTAGAATATTCAATGAAAATATACATATGATATATGGTTAGAAAACTCTCACCACGTAGAACAAAAACCCCCAAGATTTTCAATATCAGTTGCAAAAAATTCCAAACGAAATTTTATCATGAACTTTAGGTTCTATATGCAAATTTAGAATTGTCTTAATAATTAAAAAATGGGTCTTATAATTATATATGCATAGCTTTGATTTTAAATGAAGAAGATAATTTTCAACCCATTGGTCAAACCTAAGAGCACGAACTAGAAAATGTTAATGCATTGAGGACTAGCATAACTTTAGATATATGTGAAAGTAAAAAAGTAGGGGTGTGCAAAAAAACTGGTTCACTTGCCCTGCCCTTGATCCGACCTTGACCCGACCCATAAATACCCATATTTTTTGAACTAGTTTAAATACTGACCCACTTTTATTTGGGTCAGTTTTACACCTGACTCGTCTTAATATTGACCCTCTGACCCAAAATTTGACTCATACCCATTATGAGAAAAAAAATTAATTACATTAAAAGAAAAGTTTTAACGTAAAACAATTACGTCAAAATTTTTTATGGAAAATATTTTCATAAATATTTTCGCAAAAATTTTTGACGAAAAATATTTTCATCAAAATTTGTGACTAAAAACATATCGGTAAAAAAATTTGACGGAATATTATTTTTGTCAAATTTTTTTACGGAATCTAAATTTCGTCAAAATATTTCACAAAAAAATATATTCATAAATACTTTCGATGAAACACATTTTCATCGAAATTCTTTGACGAAAAAAAATTTCATCAAAATTCTTTACAGATTTCAAATTTCGGCGAAAGTTTTCGACGGAAACATTTTCGTTAAACTTTTTGACAAAAAAAAATTTCGTCGAAATTTTTAGCGAAACACATTTCTATCAAAAATTTTCGACTAAATATTTTCGTCAAGTTTTTT